TCCTTCGAGGTCGGGGCGCTGGGAAAGCCCTGAGCAGCTCACACAGCTTTGCTCCAGTTGCTATTTAAGTGCATCCTGCTGCCAGGATCAGGCCCGCGGGAGCCCCACGCCTCTGATCAAGCTCAGTAACTCACAGTAATCCCAGGGGAGGCTGCTCAGCAAATACAGCAACTGGCGACACAGCGAGGGCATTACTGACGCTGATACGCGATGGAAGTGGGGTTCGGTTAAGCCTGCATGGCTCAGGACAGATAAACTGTTGTTAATCCTAATTGCCTGTAAAACGTGCCATGGAAGAGGCCATCTGTGCACGGCGGGGATGGAGCTATGAGCTTCCAGCCAGTTTTTTTTTCATCTAGGAAGCCCCCAGGGCTGAGGATGTGAGGAGCAGGGGAAGGCAGTGCTCCCCACAGCCAGCCCCAGCCCCTATGGCTAACGGGGGGGTTCTCTTCCAGCCTTCGAGCGGGGCCACTGCTATGAGCCCTACATCCAGAACGGGAACTTCACCACCTCCGACCCCACCTACAACCTGGGCACCACCGTGGAGTTCACGTGCGACCCCGGGCACTCCTTGGAGCAGGGTCCCGCCGTCATCGAGTGCGTCAACATGCGGGACCCGTACTGGAATGACACGGAGCCGCTGTGCCGAGGTCAGTCCCCGCGCCGCAGGGCGATACTGGGCAGCGGGCACGAACACCCCTGGGACCCCGGCTGAGCCCTGCCTGCCTCTTGCTTCCACAGCCACATGTGGGGGGGAGCTGACCGCCATGGCCGGGGTGATCCTGTCCCCCAACTGGCCAGAACCCTATGCGGAGGGGGAGGACTGCATCTGGAGGGTCCACGTTGGTGAGGAGAAGCGGCTTTTCCTGGACATCCAGCTGTGAGTAGCCCAGGATCTCAGTGCATGTCTCTGCCCCAACAGTGCTCAGCTCACTTTGCTGCAGTATCCCTGCTCCCCTCACCCCAGGGACCTGCACCACTTCCCTGTTTTCCCCATTGGAGCTTTCCCAATCCTCAGTGATGTGCTCAGCACCCATGGGCAGGTCCAGGGCAGTACCGAGTGCTGCTCCCTGAGCTCAAAGCACTATCACACCACCCATTGCAGGAGTTATTTGCTCCCGAGACAGCTTCTAAACTCCTCCGCAGCAACGTCACAGGGAGTGATGCCACAGCAGCAGCAGAGCTGCCCAGCAAGGCCCTGGCTGCACCATCCAGGCACGGCAGCGCTCGTGGCGCATGCCGAGGTCAGAGGGGTGCGGGATCCCATGCCAGGCTGGGAGCCCTTGGCATGACAATGCTGCTGATGCAAGAGGAATCTCCTTCAATACTATTTTGGGTTTTGAAGAGGAGGGCGTGTTTCAAGCAAGGGCTTAGAGTCATAAAGCTTTTAAAGCTTTCTGTAAAATCACAAGTCAGAGCTCCCAGTGCAGCTCTCCCAGCTCTCCCGGCTTTGTGGGTGCTTGGGCTGAGCAGAACTGGAGGCCAAGCGATTTGAAGTCATCGAGCATAAATGTCACTAAGAAAATCGTGTTTGACAGAAAGCAGAGATTTACTACAAATGTCAGCTTGCCACGGGGATTAGCTGGGCGCCTTCCAAGGACATTCTTAATAAAAGATTTGGGGATCAGCCCAGGCGTCTCCAAACAAGGCTGAATTAGACGGGCCGATG